CAAATTTTATCAGTGGATGGATGATAACTAAGGGAGAACTTGAGGGGAAAAAATGCCCTGCCCTCATTTATTCATTCCTGTGGCAGTATCACTCCTGGGAAAGTTACCAAAGGAGTACCCTATTGGGATGAGCTAATTATGGATAAAAGAAGACTTAAGCCTTCTGTTGTGTATCCTTGCCTAAGTAAGCTTAGTATCTAAATCATTGGCTCTGGAGGTAGGTTTAACCATTTTCCATGGATGGATCATTCCAGAAATTAGCAGACTAGATGTCTCGAGGCTCTCTTGGTCCAACATTTGGGATTGCTTGGCTGAGTTCTGAAATTTTTGCTATCCTACTTACAGGCAATCAGAGTTAATTAGATAATTAAGTTGCCATGGGAAACCAGAGCTCAGTTGCATAGGCAGCATCCTTCAGTAGTGACATCTTATGGCAGGTTTGATTTAACTTGCAGCTGTTACAAGTTCTGTCTTTGTTCTGAGAACAGTTGGGTTTCTTTCCACAGGCCCAAAGTATGATACCTATTCACGAACCATATGCAGATGGTGAGTATAGAGGGCTGGTGGTTTCAGGGGAGAGGGGAAATAATGATACATAACCAGACTGCTTTGCTAAAATTCCTATTCTTAGGCTTAGCTATTGTTTCTTTTCTGAAGCTGCTCATGGAAACATATATGGTAGTTAAACAGGCTGTGTGTGGAACATGAATGATAATTAAATTAAAAAGCTGAAGCATATTCCATGTATTTTATAAGAATGTTTTAAATTCCTTTTTCTCAAACCAAGTAGGCTAAATCATTTGAGGTCGTATTCTGAACATTCCAGATTGTTTTAATTATTTGGGGACAGATAGCATGCAATGGAAGGTTATGCTCTGGAGCAGGCATCACCAACTTGTTGCAATTCTCATAAATTGGAACTCCAATTCTCAGTACGGCAGGGGCATTCTGAATGATACAATGATGCAGCCTGAGCAAATCTGAAAGGGCTCATTTTGGGAAATTCTGGAGTGATTCTGCTTTAGAAAACCATTTTATTTTCAGCTTACTGCTTATCTTGCCAAATATGAGCGATATATCCCTCTTCTTTTTACCTTTCAATAGAATTGGATGGAGGATATCGTGGCATGTATTCTGGGGAAATCCCTATGGATGCCATGGACATGGATGGAGACTACCCCATGGATACATACAGCGATGGTGTGCGAGCACCTTACCCAGACCACATGCTGGCCTAATATGTCACTAGGACATGTTGGGCAAGACTCAAGGTAAAAGCATCTAGTTTAGTGCATTTGGGAATTGGCCAGTTAATCGAAATGAAAGATGAAATGAAAAAAAAAGATAAAATGGACATTTTCATTCTTTATAACTAAACATCCTTCATACTTCCATGGACCTACAGAACATATCACTGCTTCCCAATCCATGGAAAATAGATTTTTGTCTTGCCTTTCTTTAGTTAAAAAAAAAAAAAATCTCAATAGTGATTACTCAGCAAATGAAGGACAACTTGTAGATCTAAACAAAAACAACTTGTAAATCTAAACAAAATAGAAGCCATGCAGGTTTATCCCTGACAGAACTCGATTGTTGAGTTTGATTAGACCAAATATGGCTCCTTTTCAGCTTTCTGCATCTGACAATCTCCAACCATATTGCTCATGGTTTTCTGAAACAATCTGGTAAAATTGATGGGGAAAATATGACATTTTGAAATGGAACCTCAATTTTTAATGCTTGTAAATGTCTTTTGCGTGTTCTATTAAATATTATTTCTCCTCTTTGTTATTAATGAGTTGCTCCTAGTATCTGTGAGTCCTTCAGGCTGGTTTCCACTTCTGGGTAGAATGAGAAAAAAACAACATATATGCCAATGCATGAAGTACAGAAACTAACCATTGCTTTAAAAATGGGGTAGAGGGTACCCTTTGTTACTGAGCATACAGACTGGCTGCATTGTTAAGCTCATGCTAAAATAAATATATAATTTCTATTCATCGGAAAAGGTGGAGATTGGAGCATTTCCAGTCCTGTCTTTTACATTATATAATTCTCATCGTTCTCTGCCAACATAACAAATATGGCCCGTTATACTTTGGTGGCCTGAGATTGGAAAAGTCAGGAGTGGCTGTTTTTTTGCAAGGACCAAGCAGTCCCCCATATTGGGACCATAAAAATAGATAGTGCTTGTTAGATGGACAGTGGTCTGATCTGGTTTATTCAAAGCAGCTTCCTCCATCCTAAAGGGAAATCTTGCTTTCCTGTATATGGTGTAAATCTAATTTTCCCTTCCTTTGTTTTTCTTAATCAGCAGATGTTTCCTTAACACAGAAGAGGGCAGCCCCAGTGCTCAAGTTCTGGGCGTTCAGGAGACAGAAGTGCCTGAGAAAGATGATGACAAATTTCTTCCTTTCCCTTTGAGGCGGTTTTATTTTCATGTTTCCCTCCTGTGGGCTTATGGGAGCGATTCCCAGTCCATAATTTGTGCTGCAGCTAACAACATTATAATATTAGCAGTCAGCTATTCTTTCTGCTCTTTCCCGCAATATTATTTTTTAACATTCACTCTATTTTTTTCTTGCAAATTGGAGCACTATCCTTAAACTGCCATGGGATCCTGATAAGTACTTTTAAACCTATACACTAAAACTAACATACACTGATAATACAATGTAAGAGGAAAAAATGCATACACAGATTGTGTGTTTGTGCAGAGTTTTTCATTTGATAGGATTTTATTTGCCTCTTTGTATTTTTAACACAAATTAGAACTAAATCAGACGAAGAGAAAATGAGAATATTTCTATTCTACCCCTCTCGTTTTTTTACCTATTTAACTTTTAAAAATAAAACTATCAGCCATTGGGTGTAAATTCACCAAGAAATAAACAGCTTTGCATTTGTCCAGGTTTTTTTCATTTTTTAATACAACAGGTACATGTTTGGATTTGGGACCTCAACCGAATCTGCTGTATAAATCGGAATAACTAAAACAAATTAGATAAACTCTCTTCCTGCTCACCAGACCACTTTTTTCATATTTTAATCCAATTTCCCTTTTTGTTCCCTCCCTTTCTCACAATCTTCCTGGTGATTGGCATGCTCTCTTCTTCCTCCTATTCCCGTGCTCCTTCTAATGCATTTTTAAAAGCAGCTCTCAATGTGATAGCTTGAGGCTTCCACTGGAAAAGGGATCGATGTAGCTGCAATTATATTTTAGAACATTTTATTATTATTTCTCTAAGGGATTTTTTTTTGTATAGACCAAAGCTAAAAGAAAAACCAACAAAAACAAATAAAATTTTAAACCTAAACTTGCAATGCAAATGAACTACTTTTTTGCGTTTACCTAGTGAAATTTTTTTGAAGGGGGGGAAGGAAGATGTGTAGAGGGAAAGGATTCTGAAAAATGTATCTTCAAATTAGATTATACGCATTTAAACTAAGGGAAAAGGAAGAATATTTTTCCTTTACCCAGTTTTCTTGGAAGTGGTGGGCCTTGAGAGAGAATATCGGGTGGGTTTGTGAATGTTAAGACCAAATGGTTAAAAGTTTGAATCGGTGGGTTCAAGTTTAATTAGAGAGGCTGAAAAGTGAGAGTACACAATTTCCTAAGGCTGATCTGGACTGCAGATGGGAGAAGGAAGAAGAGAATAAAAAAGAAAGTATACATTCCTGTTCAGATTTCTTTGAATTCTGTACTTTGATATTTCAAAAACAGCTTTCATTGAGGTTGTGGTGCTAAGCAGCTTTCTACAATGCATTGAAGGCATCCAGCATGTATTTGACTGAACCTTTGTACTGAAGACAAAGTTCAAGAGCCTGGAAATCTTTCTGTCCTGCGGATATACATCCGCATAGGGGAAAGGCTATACCTGGCTGAATGTTGCAGCAGTTAATGTCTGTTGAACATTAGCTGATATACTGATATGTTGCCAACATGTGAAATCACATATTTGCCCTTGAAGTCATGTGTGGAAGCTGCCATGTGATTAGCTAATCCTATAGCAGGAGATGGCTAGCTTTATACTATCATAATCCTTTCAACTTCGATTCCCATCATCAATAACTACCATGAGGATGACGAATGGCAAAAGACAATCCTTGACTTATGGCGGGTTGCTTAAATATTTGAAATTACGACAAGCTCACAGCAGGTGTTTTATGGCTTGTAAAGAACTTCTGGACATCATAAAATGTCTCCTTCCGCCAGTCTCTCAGGGACATGTGACTGCATTTCAGGTGTTTGGCAACTTACTTGCCTTTACAATGGGCAAAAATTGCCCAATCCAAAAAATGGGTTTTCATTTAAAACTGCACTGTTTGATTGATTGGTGAAGATTTAACCACCATAGTGATTCACTTAACAACCATTGCAAAAATGTCATAAAACCAGGTCTGATCGCATGGGTACCTTGACTTATGACTGTAATGACTTATAACTGTAAATCTGATCCCAATTGCAATCATAAATCAAGGAGTACTTGTATAGTAACTGAAGAGCACTCTTATGGGATGTGACCCACATTTTCCACTCTCTTAATCCCTAAAGTAGTGGGAGGGTAGCTATAGCTCCAATGCCACATGTACTGTTTTTGCAGCCCTCAGAGCCTCATGATCATAAATGCTCAAAACCAACAGCATAATTTCCTTTTATTTTGAGGTGGGAAACAAAAACGACAGTAGAAGACACACACACACACACACACGGAATACCACTGATGCATCATCACAAAATCTCCAGAACCATAAAGCCATACTTGAAATTTGGCACATGTTCCTCTTGGCTTCTAGGTGCTCATGAAGAAAGAATTTTTCAAAATGACCATCAGAGCATTAGTATTTTATATATTATTATTAACACGCTCTGATGCTAAGGAGTTCTACTCTCGCTCCCCACCTGAAAAGAAATCTGTTCCAAATGCAAAACACCAGCAGAGGAGAGGAGTTTCAGTTTTAGTTTCACAACACCAAGCAGCTTTAGTACAGAACAGTTAAGCTAAGCCACATCCAGGCTCCTTGCTGTCTCCTTGCTCACACAGCAAATACTGTTTCACTTTCTAAACAGCCCTCAGTTCTCTCAGACACTGATAGGACGTAGCCAGATGAACACCGTTGGATGCTGGTAGGCAGAGGCAGAATGTATTTTTCCTCTCCAAAAATTAAGCCCAACCACATAGTTTCATAGCAAAGCACGGGTATCTATCTAGTTACAGATAAAACTTTTCCCAAAGCCCAGTTGGATGTCATGTCATAGGCCCTAGCCATTCTGTAACTCTTTCCCCCCCAAAAATTAATAGACATCCTAGTTATCAAATAATTTCTGCTTCTTCTATGCTGCAGGAACATGTGACTGTAATCTGTATATATCTATACTCCAGAATTCTGCATCGATTGAGGTGTGCCACATACATGCAAATGCTACAAAATATGTATCAGAGATGAAACTATGTGGATAAAGTTCTTTTATATAACTTTATTTGAAATTTATCTCTCCTCCATAAATAGTAACCTATCATGTCCTATATATACTTCTAAAATCTGTATCAGGACATCTGCTTTGGTTCCTGATACCAAACAAGTTATTCTTAACATTCCCTGTTGACCAGACATCTTGTCTTCTAATGACATGAAAACATTGAGAGTAGAGAAAATGTTAGCAAGTTTGTGACAAGTGATAATTTGTACATTAAAAATCCCAGTGAATGTGCCTTGTATAGGAGTCACAGTGTATAAAAACAGTCTCCTGGGTTAATTCTGCTTGTTGCAGAAACATTCTGAAATATCAGTTTCCTGCAGCACATGCAATTATTTAAAACAAACTTTTCCGACATGGTACCTTCCAGATATTTGAGACTGAAATTGATAATCTCCATGGTCAAGCAATGGTGGCTGAAAATTCTGATTTTTTTCTACCCCCTATCCTATATGGACTATGTAAACTATAAAATTAATAAGATGAAACAGCTTTTTTCATCTAATGATATATACAAACTTTCTCTGAAGTAATGGAATAGGATAGCAATTTTTTTTCTCTTCCTCCAGATTCTTTGCTTTTCTCTACATTTAGCTCACCTCCTAGTTTTACATAGGCCAAAAGTTCTGTAATTGTTTTCTAGCAAAGAGAAAGTATCAAACATCAACATAAGTAGTTTCAGTGTTGATACTGTACTACTAAATGACCTTGTTCTCTTGGAATAAAGTTTAGGGAAGTAGACCTTTATACTTTTCCCCAGGTTTTTATTCCCCACCCTCACCTGTGAGATTCATTCTTTGGGTCTACTGGAGCAAATTGTATTTTTAATACCATCCCACAAGCCACTAATCTTTCTAGAATAACAAATGAAAGGAATCGGGATCAAAGGGATCTAGGAAGCAAAGTTGCTTCTGTATAAACAATGCCATCCAATGTCAAGCCACTTACTTTCTCCTGCCAGCTTACTGGTGTGAATTAAATTTGATTTTCCAGAATTAGACATGGTATAATCAAAAGTAGGAGGAGAATAAGGAGAGTAAGATGGATAATAGAGTAAAGGGAAGATTAGAAGAACTTCACGGTTTTCCTTTCCAGCTACGGAAAATCTACTTAAAAGAGATCATAATGCTGACTGGGGTCTTTTCTTTATTTCTATCTATCATGCTCCACCAGTTGCAATTTTAATGAAAACAAGAAGAAGCAACACAGTAGATCTGAAAGCAATAATATTTTCCTCAATTCTTTTGTCTACCAAAGATCATGCTGACATTCTGGCTGTAGAATTAATAAAACCAACAGTTGGCTTCTACTTTTATGACTGCCCGGAAAGATAAATGCGCAAATGATAATTGTTACATGGTCAGATAAGATTTTGGAGGGGAATAATTTTGTGTTATTCTTGGCTTCTCTTTGATATATAAAATCCAACCAGTGATTGTACACAGAGAGGTTTACAAAATACTAATCTTAAATCTCAATTACATGACAATATTATTACATTCAAGTTAGCTTCCTGTCACTGGTTTGTGACTAACTTAACTACTGAAAATCCACCCTTTGAGATATTTGATAGAAAATGGGAGGCTTCATTTATTTACAATTTGCTTGGTTATAACCAACCTCAGTTGAAAATGACAGATCTCAAAGTTGTGACTATGTCAGCAATGAGGGTGCTCCCTCAGTGTAGCAGGGGTTTAGAGTTTTGTTTGTTTTTTAGAATCAGTGGCTTTTTCTTTAGCAGAATTTTCTTTGCCCAAGGTAAAATGCTTATTACTTCAAATTATAAGACCTAAAACATCTGTATTCACCTGTATTCACCTTCAGTGTAGATTTCAGCTTATGTTAGGTTATGCATCTGTTACTAATGGGCAATGTTTTGTACCCCAATATCTACATGCAAATAATAATAATAATAATAATAATAATAATAATAATAATAATAGCAGCTCCCTTTTCCATACTACCAATAATGAGCTGATATGAGAAATTTGAATAATCTAGAACAGAGGTGTCAAACTCATGTCATCACGGCGGCATCACGGGACATATCCGGACTTTTTTTCCCTTCACTAAACCAGGCATGGGCGTGTGATACATGTGGCCCATGGAAGTTCTATTTATGGAAATAACCCACAAATTTGTAAAAATAGGAAAATGCAAATGTTAGTTTTACAATTATGTGATATTTAATATGAACAGGAAAATGGAGAATATGAATTAAGATTATTGCAATGGTAGAAATGTTTTGGGAATATAATTTTAATTGTATTGTTTTGAATATCATAATATTCCACTTTTAGTTTATGGTGGGTGATTCAACACTAAGGTTGTTTTTATGTAATGGAACTTTTTCATAGTTCAACATCTCTACTTTATTTAATTTTCTTCAGATGTGTTAGATGACATATCCTATAATTCTTTAATAGTTTATTTTAGATATGACTAGGTGGGGTAAATTGTCCTTTCAAAGCCTTTGGATTAGTTGGCTAGAAGTTATTAAATGAAACAAATGAAAGCTTTTGTTCATTAAATCAAGAAATTTCTTACATTTTAAAGGAAATATTTTGCTTGTACGTACTTATTTGACAATCTAGTTTTGCTTTATAAGTGCAGGCAAAAAAAGTTCCTACATGCATCAATAACCCAGGATGACTATATGAACTGTCTACTGAACAACATTGTGTCTATAATTGTTGGAAAATTTTGCGTATTGTGACCGTCTCTTGATGAAATATCTATTAGTGAAATTCATGTTCACGCATCATTGCCATTAGCTGAAGAGGGTGCAAATGCAAATGAATTGTGTGCTAGCACTATAATTTGTGAAAGAACATGCTACAGTTATTTTACTAAAAGCTATGTCTCATCAAGAGAGGGTACCTCCATCAGTTCTTCTAGGGAAAACCATGGTTCCCAGTAGTCCAAAGAATTTCTCAGCCTTGGTCATTTTAAAACACGTGGATTTCAACTCCCAGAAATCCTCAGCCAGTGTGCTGACTGTTGAATTCTGGGAACTGAAGTTCACTTATCATAGAGAAGCTAAGGTTGAGAAACATTGTCATTGACATACATTGGAGCTGATAACTTACCCTGTGCGTTCTGTTCCCCATATCTCTGGCAGAGATATGGCCTCATCTATTAATTCTTCAACATTCTCTGAAGTCCCCATTGTGGCATAGCTTTGCTGTAATTGGCTGTCTATAACTTGATTATTGAGACTTCTGCATTGCAAAATCAAGGGGTTGTGTTGAGGAGCAAGAAGGCATTACGCCAAGTTCTCCCATAAGCCTCAGATTAGTCCTGATTTCATTAGCAGCTGCATGAAACAATTGGGAGATAACATATTTTTTACAAATTGTAATATTCCTGTAACATAATGTATTCTATAAACATGACAGATCAGCAAGAATGTACAGACCTATTTGTTGACTTTCCCACTGCTTGTCCTGACAGTAGTAATTTATAGCTTTATCCAGAACTGTCCTGTGTATGCATCAGTATGTTTCTCTGCCTCTTGTTCTAACTTGACCTGCCAGTTATTACCTTCATGTTCTCACCTGAGCAACAGGTCTTGTCAGTTTCACTTACTCAGGTGGTAGCAAGAGAAATAATTATTTTTGACGCCATCAGCAATATGTTATCTTGTCTGAATCAAGATGCTTCTAGCTTCTGTGCAAAATATGTTGAAAAGGAAAGTTCAACATTCCTGGATCTGGCTCAGCCATCTTGCTGTTTCTATTTCTGCTCCTATGGACAGACTGGAAATTAAATGTTGCTGGAAGAATCCTTTGAGCTATGTATTCATTTTCCACTTATTCGAATGTATTGTTCCTATAATTTATGAATCTCTGTTTGCAAATACCATATATAACCTAACTATTTGCATTATTTTTCTTCCTTAGGTGAAACTGAAATACAACTTTTATTTTACCTTTTTATAAGCATAATCTTTTGTTTTAGTTTTTTTCCCCTTTTTAATTAACGGTCACTGGTCTATAAAACAGGATTGGTCATTGTATATTTAAGCTAGATTCAGCTATTATGTAAAATTTGGCATGTGAAATATAGCTATCCATCACTTTTCAAAGCATTGTTCAAACTTGTCAAGGTAATACAGTCACATAATGGAGGAGCCTGAGTTTCCATCTCTGAATTAGGAAACAGCTCCATTATTTCAGAATTTTGACTGTGGTATGAATTCTAATATAACTTCTTACTTATGCTGCAGCTTATTGTTTCAATAATGTCCTTTTCCAGTTATGTTTTGCTTTACTAACAGAATAGATATTTGATTCAATGTACTCCTTTGCTGTGAGATTTGTTCCAATAAGTGTGATATTTTTACTATCTGGTAGGTGAGCCTTTCTCAACCTGGTGCCCTTGGTATATGTGGGATGTCAAATCTCATAATCATTAACACAGGCCCCGTCCTTGGTGTTTGGGAATGATGGGAATTGCAGTCCAACCCCTCTGGTGAGTACCAAGATGGGAAGGCTTCTGTAAATCCTGACACATGAAATTATTGTTATGGGTTTTTCTGTTTTACTTGAGAAGTCTTAGTATTGGATTCACCGCTAGTTGACACTGGTAGTATAGAGGTACAGGAAGCCCTTAAATTACAACCATTCATTTAATGACCATTTGAAATTACAATGACATTGAAAAAAAGTGACTTACAATTGTCCTTGCCTATGACCGTTACAGCATCCCTATGGTCATTTGATCAAAATTTGGTTGCTTAGCAACCTACATGCACTTATGACAGATGTGGTGTCCCAGGATCATGTGATCACCATTTGTGACCTTCCAGGGAAACCTCTGAATAGCAAAGTCAACAGTTAGATTTGTATAATAATCACAGCAAAACAAGTTGTAAAATTGGGGGTGACTCAATTCTGCTTAGCAACAGAAGTTCCAATTGTAATTATGGTTGTAAGTTGAGGACTATCTGTATATTGGTTTTTGAGATATAATCTTGTAATGGATGCTCTTAAATTCCTTGAGAAAGGCAAAAAAAAAAAGGGAGGAGGACAAATTTTCTCTGAATTATTGGTTCATGCATAGCATGCTGTTGCCACACAGTGGCTGTTTTGTAACATAACAGTAAAAAATATATCAAATTCTGGAGTCTGAGCTTTGGAAGTTTTTGAAAAGGATCTAAGCAGCATTACATCGGGTGAGCAACTGAGTTCCAACCCATTTAGGCATTGTAAGATAAGTTGGAGAAAAATGTATAGGAGCACAGCTTATTCGGAGCCAATTGGGATCTAAGTGACTTAAATCACAAAGAATGTAATTAATCAATGAGTAAGAGTCCTTCCACACAAAACTCTTTCCATAACCAATCTCTCCAAAGGATTTTCAAGCCAGCAATTATGATGATCAATCAATTGTTATCTTTCCTGGTGACCTTTGGAAGATGAGAAGAAGCAGAAAGTACCATAAATTCATTCAACTGTCCAATAAGAGAAGGCAGAAGTTGGCATTCAGCTACTGCCCTCTGACAATGTCATAGCAGCTTCTGGAAAACCATCCTTCTTGCCCATGTCTCCATCCAGAAAGAAATAAAAATAACTTCTTGTTTCTGATAAATGTGGTATTCACTTGGCAAATTTATGAACTTTCTGATCATCAAGACTTCACATTTCTTGCCAATAAATTCTCATTGAAAGTTGTGATGAGGGCAGGACACTGCAGTGTTGCAACTGGAAACTTTTTCAACAGCTTCAGCACACCACCATTATCTATGCTTGGAGGGATGCAGAGAGAGAAATGACTCACTTAAGACCAAAGGCCAGGAGATGGGGTAAAGCAAAATTTTACATAGACTGCTTATATAAGCACGGAAAATCAAGCCAGTTTCTTACCAAATTGTGAAATTTGCTACAAGAATATGACTGAATTTGTTCCTAAGGTGTTTGTAAAAACCTACTGGAGTACTCCATGGAAGATGGGGTAAGTCAAGAGAACCCGAAAATGAGAAAGCAGTACTTATCACTCTGCAGAACCCAGCAGCATCACAGATTTAAAAATATGGTTTGTCAATGCCAAAAGCTGTGCTCTTACTGAACCAAAAGAAACCTTAAATGTGAAGGTGGAAGTTGGCCTCCAATCCATTTTAATTTTGGCCTGTATTGTTTTTTTGTAATAAATGCACTAGCATGAAGCCTGAAATTTTATTCCAATCAGAATGGAATAATGAGAGAGAGTGGGATTCAGCTGAATACTCAACAGTGTTCATCTTTGTTTACTAATTTTCTATTTTGGTTCTGATTCAGCAGTAGTTTTTGTTTTAACTTGGATACTAGTTTAGACAGAAACATTTTAAGTATGAGCCAGCACTGTGCTGTTGCTGCCCAAAAAAATAATAATGCAGTCCATTAGGTTGCATAGAGGAATAGATTCAGGATCATATGAAGTGGCAGCACCATTTTATACTGCACTGGTAAGACCACACTTTAAATACTGCATCCAGTTTTGGTCACCATGATATGAAAAGATGTTAAGAATCTAGAAAGAGTGCAGAGAATAGCAGAAAAATGATCTACAGCAAGGGTGTCAAATTCCCGTTGCCATAGCAGCACAACATGACATATTGGGACTTTCCCCCCATTTCCTAAACCCAGTGTGGGCATGGCCATATCCATGGACATAGGATCTCCTATTGAGCAGAGGGTTGGCCTAGCCTCTATGGATGGCTTCTACTTAAAAGATAGTATATATCAGCGCTGTCAAACCCTGCAGATTGGATGTGTCACATACTGGTCATACCTATGTTCAGTTTAGCGAAGGAGGAAAAAGTCATGATAAATCATGGGGCGTTGCCATGACACCCTGGCATATATGAAATTTGATTGCAGCTGATAGAAATTGAAAACTCAGCCCTGGTAGCATTATGAGATGAAAATGCATTTCAACTGTCTTTGCTTTTATTTTTAACAAGACCCTGATGGATAAAAAACAAAAACAAGTAAAGTCCAATAGTTGTGTTTTTGTTTAATTCTCACTTTCTCCCTGTAAAGCAAGGGTCTTCAAACTTGGCAAGTTTAAGACATGTGGATTTCAATTCCCAGAATTCCTGAGCTAACATGACTCGAGGAATTCTGGGAGTTGAAGTCCCCAAGTCTTAAAGCTGTCAAGTTTGAAGAGCCTTGCTGTAAAGGAATAGCTTCTGAATTTAATTCAAGGCCATCATCTGAGTCAGCCAGATGTTCCTGTTTTCACTAAGTAGATACCTGACCAGTCACTCTTTGAATCACTTGAAAGTGATATTTTTTTAATCATTCAATTTAACCTCCAGTTACTATGTTAGCTTTACTATTTCATTTGAGGGTGGGGGTGGTGGGGAAATCTGAGCTTGAGGTCAAGAAAATGGAGGCAGGAAGACTATTATTGGATCCAGAGCGCTTCACTTCCATTTCTTCTGACCTTCAACTCTAATTGCCTTGCTGTGATATGAATGGCATATTTAGGGAAACGGAAAATATTCCCCACATTTCTGCCAGCTGTCAGTTACTTGTAATGTATATGGAATAGTCTGGAGACTTATTTAATAAACTACCTGGTTACATCTGTATCACAAATAGAGTTCGTGTTAAGTTATAATTCAAAAAGGTTAAGCTGGTAACTGGAATGGTGAAATTGAAGCGCTGTCCATTATGTGTGTGTGTGTGTGTGTGTACACACACACACACACACACATAAATAATTCCTAACACACAAATCATGGAAAAAAGAGGTGGTGCTTTAATTATGCCACTGGCCAGTTTGAATTTGGTTTAATTCTTTGTAGATATTCAAAAAAAAAAAGAATGTTTTTAATCCCTTTTTTAAGAGTGCCAAGAAACCACGCTGGCTCTCCAGAACTTACTGTATAATAGCGTAGCAGCTTGATAGAGCCAAGCCATTCTTTAAGAGTTCCACTTCTTGATTTGATATTTATTTTGGGGTCCCGTCCCCCCACTCAGTTTGAGATGAGTAGTGCTATTTTTTTCCAGACCCCACCAATATTAACCTTATGCACTGCTACATTCAAACCAAATATTATGTCCAGCCACTTAAAGGTTGTCGCATCTTTTTTATTTCAACTAATTGCAGGCTGTGAACCACCTTTCAAAATGAATACCCTGTATAAAGTCATTTAAAGTTATATGAGCAATTGTAATTAAAAGCACAATGTACATTACTTTAAAATAACAGATATCTAGGATCCTTCTCTCAGGGAAGCTGGTACAAATGGTTGGCTATGGGAACCAGGAGAACCAGCTCCTTTGGTGGTGATGGCTAATGGATTTTCCCATCTTTAGTGTTTCTCTTTCTAAAGTTACGGGAAAAAGATTGATCACTTAAGTCTCTATCTTTTGAGGTAAGGTTCAGTTCAAAGGAGATAAGGATTGCAATTTAGATGGACTATATTTCTAAGTGATAAATCCATTGTCTTTTTTTTTTTAATAAAAGGACCTCTGCCATTTTTCCTGAGAAATATTCAGTATCCACATGAAACTCTTACAGTAAAATAGTGTCAATACTTTGCAAAAAGAAAGAAAACAAAACAAAAAGGGCATATACATTTTCATGGAAGCAGTTATACTTTCGCCTGAACTACTTAGTAAACATAAACACCAAAATAAAAACAGAATAAAACAAAATTTGTTACTGATTCAAAACCAAAATAGAAAAGAAATATAAGCAGATCTGAGTATCCACTAAATTCCAGACTTTGTAATCGGTGGAATCTAATTTCGGACCTCCTTTACGATTCCAGGGTTAAGGCATTTATTACAAAAAACAATGCAGATCCAAATTAAAATGCACTGGAAGTCACTTAAGGTTCTTTATCCACAATAGCTGTTTTGATTCAGCATTGTCACTGACTTGTGTGTCCACATTATTCCCCTTTGTCGTCTTACAATGGGATTGTTGTAATTCTTGCAAATTTCAGCTGCATTTAATAGCATTAAACTTCATCTGCAACAGCTTATTTATTTGATGGACTGTCTCACCACTGTCATGTTATATTACCTTTTCTTAAATTTTAAGAGGTCATTATTTTAATTTACATGCCTACCACATGGGTATTAGAATATAAATGTATTCTTTGTGCCCTTCCTGTGACCAAAACACTGATATTGCAATATTGGAAGGATAAATGTAATGACTCAATAGACTGAAGACCTGGTTAAATTTGCCATCTATGAGTAGTTCGTCTGTAGATGTAGAACTTTGCATAGTCAAGTATAATGAAACATGGAACTCAGTTTTACAAAATGGAGTTGATTAAAGATGAATGATAGTTATATAAATGTATTGGAAATTAATATATGTGCGCTTGTGTATTAGATAAGTATCTATAGAATTGTAACTCTTATACTGCAATGATATACTTTGTTTTTTTCTGTTGGTATTTTTCCTTTTCACATTTAAAAAATTGCTTTTTATGTAGCTTCTTTTTATTTTGAGAATCTATGTATCTCTATTATAATTATAACTTTTATTTTTTGTTATTTTTAAAAGCAATAATAAATAAATATTAGATCGTTGCTATGACAAGTGTGCTGGCTGCTGGTGTTTTTTTCTGATAGAATACTTGATGCTTGGAGATATCTACAAAGCCCTATATAATTTAGTGTTTAGTATATTATCTGCCTAAGTTGAGTGGCCAGAGAATACCTGTGGAAGGTTCCCCTTCTTTGAAACAGTTTCCCATTTAGAAACAGAAGTAGCCTATTCTTAAGATGTTCCAAGGGATAGTGAAACCTGGCCCTCTGCAAAGTTTTTTCTGGAGGTTACTATATGCAACAATCATGATGGTTCTATGATTACTTTGTATCATTATTGTACTGTTTATATCACTTTGTTACTGTGTCTGCATTTTGACCAAAGTCCTTCAGGATTAGTTTGTAAGATTTATAAGCCTTATAAATGACAAAAGAGGTTTCTTTAAATGTTATACCATTGTTTGTAATCATGGTATGCTGAACAAACTACATTAACCAGCTACATATAATATCAGAGTCGTATACCTCCATATATAAATTAATGCAGTTTTCATACATATACCTAGTTGATTTGGAAAGCCAGACCATCTCTACTTGACCGGACATTTGCAGTAGAATTTTATTTATGTGTAAAATTCATTAGCTGCCCATCTTACCACATGGTAACTTTGGGCAACTTACAATATTAAAATATAAAACTGTTTAAAAATCCAAAGATATAAATACAATATTATAGAAATCAACTTCTCTAAAATGATGGGGAGGGAGAGACTATGATGAGAAGGGGACGTGGTGGGATCTGTTGTTAATCTATCAACTACCACCACCATTGAAAACCCCTCAGTTGGAGCTCCACGATAACTGGCTGAGCCAGATCTTTAAGTTCTTATGGAAGGGGTGGGTGTGTTTGGAGCCATCGTCACTCGGGGTGGATGTAAGGTATTCCAAAGGGCAACTGCAACTGGAGAGAGAGCTTTTCTCTTGGACCTCAATGGCCTGAATACCCTGGCCGATAGGGCCCATGGCATGCCTCCTCTGCCAGCACAGCTGGGTCAGGCCAATTCCAGCGAGATCAGATGTCTCTCAAATAGCTTGGACCCATGCCAGGAAGGGCTTTAAAGGCTATTACCAGCATCTTGAATTTCACCTAGAAGTAAACTGATAGCAGGGCAGTTCGTGGAACAGGGGGTTACATAGTCCATCCCTGGGGCCCCCAAAACTGCCTACTCCACTGCACTCTGCACCAGCTGTAGCTTCTGAATGCTCTTCAAGAATCAAAGATTTCCAGAAGTGTATCTCTCAATCCATCTGCAACCACTGAGTATTATGACAAATGCTTGGAAGATGCTTTAAGAGTTCACTAATCTTCAATAAATCTAGCATACCACTGTGTGTAGTCTTAAATGGGAAGATTCTCTTTAGTTAAGACATAGCTCTGAATGACAATATTGGTTCAGAATGGTAAAAATCAGTGGTGGGATTCAAAAAATTTTACTACCAGTTCTGTGGGTATGGCTTGGTGGACATGGTGTGGCTTGGTGGGCGTGGTTTGGTGGGCTTGGCAGGGGAAGGATACTGTAAAATCTCCATTCCCTTCTCACTCCAGGGGAAGGATACTGCAAAATCCTCCTTCCTTCCTCACCCCACTAACCTCTTTCCAGCTCTGTTCCCCTGTGCAGGGCAACAGAAGAAGAGACAGCCAAACAGCTGGAACTCAGGGGGCAGAAAATAGATGGGGGCAGGACCAGTCAGGTGGTGTTTGCCGGTTCTCAGAACCACTCAAAATTTCCACTACTGGTTCTCCAGAACTGGTCAGAACCTGCTGAATGCCACCTCGGGTAGAAATCATGTTTAAATAAAGAGACATGGAAGGATATTTCAGAATAATCCCATATAAGATTAAGGATAGACCACTTGATATTTAAGCTTTTCAATTTGTGGGATTGGGTCCAGAATATCTGGCACAGCCTACTTTGCCTTCTCCTAATTTCTGATGAACTTTTGTTGAAATGTATAAAGCTGCATGCGTGGGTTAGCAATACATATATAGATTATATAATATGCAAAATATTGAAAGCAAGTTTCAAGCTGGAGTGTAGCAATAGTAATAACAATAATGAAGAGAATATCCAATTCATTATGCGCTCAAAATATTACAATGATCTCAGGATGTCACAGACTATTCCTTAAATTTAAAATATGTAGAAAGAAAAAGAGACACAGCAGAAAATATAAGAAAAAATACAACAAAAGAAGAGCTACAAAACCTCAGGAACTTTGCAATGCTAAACGCATCTGTCCTGATTCAGACAAGTCATAGAAGAGATGTAAGGGGGGCGGGGAGGGGGGAAGTACTGAGAAAATACCAGAGAAAACGCTGGAGTGAAATTGGACTACAATTCCCAGCTGGCAATGCGGCCAATCTCCCCGCCTTTGCACCTGCTGGAGGAGAGGCTTTGTCTAGGGAAACATAAGGAAGAAAAGAAGAAGAAAAGTTTGTCAGTGTTTCTTCTGGGCTGCATGTGCCGGTCGGTCTTAAAAACACGAAAAAAAAAAAAGGCAGAACGAGAAAAGTTCAGGTAAACAGATTTGGCTGCAGTTGCATAAATGACAGAACAAGTAACTTGAGACTTCTGCTTGGGGGCGAGGGATCGGGGAGGGATGCTTTTTAAAAGCGGGGAAGAGAGTCCATTGCATTCACATTTTGCGGAATTCATGCGATCTCGAGCCCCTTTCATGTCGCCTTTTGCATTTTAAGTACGATGTCTCCTTTGGGTAGCTTTCAAAGGGGGACAGAAATGGTTACAGCTTTTTGAACTATAACTCTATCGGAAACCGTAAGATTCCTGCTTTTAGGGCAATTATTTTCGAGGGGGAGGAGAAAGTGTGGCGGCTTCTTTTTTATTTGGTATGGCTTTTGGGCTCGGTTATGGATATTCCTTCAACTTCACCAATTTTTCTTTGCAGAAGAAGAGAAGGCTGGGTGGGAGACGGAATATATAAACCTGAAAGGTTCAAGCAGCGGTTTGGCTACCAAGCCTAAAGACATCATCCTTCTCTTTCCCATCTCCCGGCGCTTCTGATTAGCCTTTGTACTTCTCCCTCTTGTCCCGCGGAGAAATGGGCGCCAATAAAAACGGGAATGGATGGGTTCCTCCCCCCA